GCAAAAGTTACGTTAATTCGCGGTGTTCAAGTCCGTGGACTGGTACTCTGGCACGATTCAGGCTCGTCAGGCCGAAACAGTAACGTTGGCTCGTGGCGTTGGATCCAGGAAGGGTGGTCTGGTGCGGTTCTGGATTTTCAGACGATTGTTTTTCAACGGGACTTTTCCCTCAGTGAAGCTGGATCCTCACAGGGACCCGTGCAGAGGAATCGTGGATGGATGGTTTATTGCATCATCGTTAGTGGTTCTTGGGTTTGCACTGGTCTTTCTCCTCCTCCTCCTCCTCTTCCTCCTCCTCCTCCTCCTGCTCCTCCTCCTCATTCCTCCTCCCTCTACCTCGCTCCTCCAGCCGCGCGGACAAGGGGCAGCTTCGTGTACAGCCGATGCTGCCCAGCCGCTCACGCCTTAGGCGTGTGGTCGGCGGTCCTCGTCATTGATTTGAGCTGCTGTGCTGTTGGTTTGGGCCCTTGTCCAGGTGTAGCTCGTTCCCCTTGGTTCTAGCGTGCCTGTGAGGGGCCACTCTGCGTCGGGTCTCTGGGCCAAGTCTCGCGCTCGCGCCTTGGCACACCCGTCGCTCTTGTGCTCGCTGCCGCAGAGTTTGTCTAGCCTCTCTGCACGGCCGCACTCTTTTTTCTCGTGCACTGTCTCTGGCGTGTCTGCCAGACACTGAGCGTCCGAGCCGAGGGTCGATCCGTGCGGGGAGGGGGCCATAGTGGGCGCTCCGAAAGGAACTCGCGAAGCCCCCTCCCCATAGCGGCTCTCGCCGAGGCGAGGTCGCCTATTTCTCAGAGCTGGCAGGTCCCGCACTGCCAGTTGCTTGCACTATGCGGTGGTATCGCGGAGGCAAAAAAATCCTCATCCTCCTCCTCCTCCTCCTCCTCCTCCTCCTCCTCCTCCTCCTCCTCTTCCTCCTCCTCCTCCTCGATGCAGGAGGGGCTCGCCCTCGTCGACCGCGGCAGCGTGCTCTGCGCGAACCCCACGTGCCGGTTCCTGGTCGCCACGGGGAGGGGGGAAGACGTGGGAGGGCAAGGAGGGAGGGGGGAAAGGAAGGGAGGGGGGGAGAAGGGGGGGACTGCGGAAGGGGAAGGGGGAGGGCGGAAGGGGAAGGGGGAAGGGAGGGGGCGGGGGGGGAAGGGGGCGGGGGAGGGGGAACGGAGAGGGGGTCAAGGGAGGGGGGGGAGGGGGAACGGAGGGGGAGGGGGGGCGTCCCAGCAGGAGGCTTTTGGCCGTCTTCGGCCTCGGGGGCGCTGTCGCCAAGTCCCCAGAGCCGTCAGAAGGCGGCCCAGGTCGAGAAGCGGGCCCGTGGGAGCCCAAAACGGGCACTCCGACGCCACGAGTTGTTGTTCGCAGCGTGGACCCCCTTGAGGTCTGGACCCCACCCCGGGATTGGCAGCCTGGCATTTTGGCAACATCGTCATCAGCAGCATCATCATCAGCAGCAGCGTCATCATCAGCATCAGAATCCTCACACCACCATCATCAGCAGCAGTATCAGCATCCTCCTCCTCCTCCTCATCCTCCTCCTCCTCCTCCTTCTCCTCCTCCTCCTCATCATCATCATCATCATCATCAACATCATCATCATCATCCTCATCATTATCTTCATCAGCAGCATCATAATATGCATTATCACCACCAGCATCACAACCATCATCATCACCATCATCACCATCGTCATCCGCGTGCATCATCATGTTTATCCCCTTCATCGTCTTCATCATCATCGTCGTCGTCGACATCGTCGCCTTCATCAGCATCATCATCATCATCATCATCATCATCATCATCACCATCACCATCACCATCATCATCATCATCATCATCATTATCATCCGTCACCCATCATCGTCATCGTCATCATCATCATCATCATCAGCAGCAGCATCATCATCGCCATCATCCCCATCATCATCAGCATCAGCATAAGCATCATCATCACGAACCCGCCGCCTTCTGAGAAGGCATGCCCCCTCTCGCTTTCCACCCTGGGCTCGCCGTCGTAGAAGGCGTTTTCGTCAGTTCCCGGGGCGGAAGTCCAGACACAGGGTGATCTCCGGCAGCTTCGCCTCGCTGACAGCGTTCTGGAGGTGCCCAGATCGCCCCGAACGGCCGCCAGAGACCCGACGTATGGCCCGAAAACCGGATCTCCGACGGGATGATGTCTTCAGCCGCGCCTTTGTTCCTCGATTGTGGCACCCAGGGCGCGCGATTGGGCTCCCCTGACTCTCGATCCGCCGCACTTTACTTGTAGCGATTCCGGAGATAGGGCGGAGAGCTCCACCCTACTCTTCAAGCTCTTGTCGGGATCCTGCACAGGGTTTGCTTCTCAGGGGGTGGGTGAGTTCGATCGGCTGTTGCACCGAACCGCCAGAAACAGATGCCCCCCAGCCGCCGGCAACTCCCGATAGTGGCCGATAGGTGGGAATGCGGACAGCTCGGTGCACCAACGGATCGAATTCATGCCCCCCATCAGGCTCACCCCCCCTCTGGTGGATCGCGATCTTGTGATGCCGATGCCCGCCCTGCTCTGTCGTCGCTGCTGCCGCCGTACTTCTGCGGGAGTGTCCGCCCTGGTTCTCCGTGGCGGACATGTCCGCCCGACCTTCTTCGCAACGCTTGGGTTATGTCGGGCGTGTCCCCCTACAGGGGGATTTTCGACGGAAAATAAGAAATACCCCAAAAATAATCGAAAAATTGTCCAAAATAGTCTGGGGTCTGTGTTTTGAGTATTTTTTGACCTTTTGGAGGTATTTTTGGGGTATGTTTTATTTTTCGTCGAAAATCCCCCTGTAGGGGGACCGACATAACGCTTGGGGCAGTTTCCCAACACACTTGCAGGTTGAAAAAATCAGCCAGCGCACGGCGGATCCGAAGTCGGGGGAGGGAGGGCGGCAGGCCCACCAGCTCCTTGCAAAATACCCGGGTTGGGTTTTAGTTCGGGGGGGTGTCCGGGGGGCCTTCACAAATAGTATTAAGTCGGGCTTGTCCCCCTACAGGGAGATTTTCGACAAAAAAACAAAAAACAAAAAAAAAAAAAAAAAAAAAAAAAAAAAAAAAAAAAAAAAAAAAAAAAAAAAAAAAAAAAAAGTCTGGGGACTATTTTACTTAACAGCGTTTGCTGATAGGTTTCTAGTAGGGTCAAAAGAGAGCATCATGACTCCTCAGGGGGGTCTGGGCGGGTGCCGGGGAGGAGAACCGGGAATCGTTTTTCGCCAACAGTCACACACTTCGTGCTCTTCGACCTCCCAGAACTCCACTCCCGGGCCGCATTCTGGAGAACCGGGAACAGAGCCGGGCTCGCTTTTCGCCAACACTCACACACTTCGTGCTCTTCGACCTCCCAGAACTCCATTCCCGGGCCACATTCTGGAGAACCGGGAACAGAGCCGGGCTCGTTTTTCGCCAACAGTCACACATTTACTTCGTGCTCTTCGACCTCCCAGAACTCCATTCCCGGGCTACATTTTGAGTGCCCGGAGCCAACTGTAGGCCACTTCGTGCCCTTCGAGTTCCCAGAACTCCATTCCCGGGCCACATTTTGAATGCCCGGAGCCAACTCTAGGCCACTTCGTGCTTTTCGATTTCCCAGAACTCCATTCCCGGGCCACATTTTGGATGCCCGGAGCCAACTGTAGGCCACTTCGTGCTCTTCAAGTTCCCAGAACTCCATTCCTGGGCATGATTTTGAATGCCCGGAGCCAACTGTAGGCCACTTCGTGTTCTTCTAGTTCCCAGAACTCCATTCCTGGGCCACATTTTGAATGCTGAGGCAGGCTGATGCTGCGGCCGAGGCAGGCTGAGGCTGAGGCAGGCTGAGGCTGAGGCCGAGGCTGAAGGCAGACTGAGGCTGAGGCTGAAGCAGACTGAGGCTGAGGCTGAGGCAGGCTGAGGCTGAGGCTGAGGCTGATGCTGAGGCAGGCTGAGGCTGAGGCTGAGGCTGATGCAGGCTGAGGCTGAGGCAGGCTGAGGCTGAGGCCGAGGCTGAAGGCAGACTGAGGCTGAGGCTGAAGCAGGCTGAGGCTGAGGCTGAGGCAGGCTGAGGCTGAGGCAGGCTGAGGCTGAGGCTGAGGCAGGCTGAGGCTGAGGCTGTGACTGCGACTGCCGTTGCCGCTGCGACTGTCATCGCGAATGCGACTACGACTGCGAGAACAGCAGAATTCTACAACTGGATTTTCATCTGAATCTTAAGGGGAATGCTTTCAGATATGCTTCTACATATCGCTGTTAGGTTGCTTTGCCGGGATAATTTTGAGAGTTTGTTGGCATTTTTGGAGTGTTTTTTATTTTTCGTCGAAAATCCCCCTGTAGGGGGACACGACCGACATAAAAATAGTATTGTTTCAACTGCGGGGCGCCAGAACCACCGACAAAGGCACTGAAACCTTTCCGAGTCGGAAGGTTTCTGCAGGGGGGTCCCCTTCCGGAAACATACGCGAGAGCTTCTTTCAATACGCGGCCCCGGGAAGTCCCGACTCTTCCCCCAGGACCGGTGTTTCATCTTGAGTCGATTCTTGACACGGCCCGGGGGCCTGGCGAGGGCCTCCAGTCGCCGAGCGCAGCGAAGCGATTCCCGTCTTGATTTCTGCTACGATCCCATTGTCGACTGCGCGTAAGAGTGACCCTTCGCCGGAGTGACCTCGGGTGCGGGCCCAATTGGGTCCCCCGATCGCCGCACGCGATGCGACAGAAGCGTCCGGCGCGCTGGTGTTTGGCCCCCCTGGGGCCGCCAAAAAGCCTCGCACCAAAGGTCACTCTTACCCAGGGTCACTCTTGCGTGTCGCCGACCTGTGCCCGGCAAGGGCCCCTTGTATTGGGTATTGCCAGGACCCCAGGTTAGGGGACCCGATTAGTAGTAGGCCCCTGGAGCCCTTAACTTGACCAGAATCACTGTAAACCAGGTCTGCCATGGCTGGTCTTTTTTTCGGGGGACGGCAGGTCCGGTTCGTGGAACGGGCGGGGGGGCCGCCCCCCAGTACACATCACCAAGCCAGGTCCCACTAAATCCAGTTCTGCCGACGCCCGATTGCAGGCCGAAAATGGACAAGAGCTTCCCGTCGCGACTCTTCCCCCCGACGACGGGTCCGCTCCTCTGGCCACTCCTTGCGCGAAGCCAACATGGAAAAGAGCCCGAGGGACGCTTCTCGACAGCCCTCGGACTCCCAGGGGCATTGCCCTTGGGGTCCGCCAGCACAAGGAACGCCCGGGCGACCTGCGCCGTCGTCGATGAGGAGGAGGAGGAGGAGGAAGAGGAGGAGGAGGAGGAGGGCGGAGGAGGAGGAGGAGGAGGAGGAGGAGGAGCCCCAGATCGAGCCGATCTTTCTGCGACACTCGTTCGACCCGGCTCGAGCTGTGAAGGCCCCGAGAGGCCCGTGGCCGAGCAGGAACGCCCGGCCCCGAAGTCTTGAAACGCCAGGACCCCAGGAACGAGGGGAGGAGGAGGAGGGGGAGGAGGAGGAGGAGGAGGAGGAGGAGGAGGAGGAGGAGGAGGAGGAGGAGGGAGGAGGAGGAGGAGGAGGAGGAGGAGGAGGAGAAGGGGAGGAGGAGGAGGAGCAGAGGGGTGCAGACCTGCGGGAGTGAGCTCTGGGGCCGTCGCCGACGGCGCCCAGGAGTGCAGGCCCCGAGCCCCTCGGGGCCTGCACCCTTCGAACGCCGCCGCCGACCCTCCGGGAAGCCCTCGACCTGCCCTCCTCCTCCTCCTCCTCCTCCTCCTCCTCCTCCTCCTCCTCCTCCTCCTCCTCCTCCTCCCTCCTCCTCCTCCTCCTCCTCCTCCTCCCCTCCCCCTCCTCCTCCTCCCCTCGTTCCTGGGGTCCTGGCGTTTCAATACTTCGGGGCCGGGCGTTCCTGCTCGGCCACGGGCCTCTCGGGGCCTTCACAGCTCGAGACGGGTCGAACGAGTGTCGCAGAAAGATCGGCTCGATCTGGGGCTCCTCCTCCTCCTCCTCCTCCTCCTCCTCCTCCTCCTCCTCCTCCTCCTCCTCCTCCTCCTCCTCCTCCTCCTCCGGTCGTGACTTTTTACGACGTTCCGATTTTTTCGCGACGTGGGCTCTCCAGGTTGCAGGCCCCAGGAAAGAGGCTTCACGTTTATGGGCGTCGGCTCAACCCCCTTCTGCCCTGACCTCGTACTAGAGCACTCCAGGAGTTGTTCGCGACGTACTCCCCCCGCCGTAGATGTTTGATCATGGACCCATTATCAATCGCAAGCGTCCAGCTTTCACGCCGAAGACCGGTGTAAGACAGCCGAAGACCGCCCAAGGCAGATGGGCAACAAGGGGTCCATGGTCGAATGCGAAGCCCCCCTTCCCATCCCCCCCCCTGAAGGTGCACACGGACTCCTGCTTCGGCGGCTACTGCTGCCGGAGGTGCCACTGGATCCACGAGACGGGCCACACGGATCACCACGACAGGCTCCGGGCGGTGCCACAACCGGTTGCAGGCCGAAGATTGGCAAGAGCTTCCCGTCGCGACTCTCTCCCGCGACGACAGGTCTGCTTCTCTGGCCACCACTCGGGCCTCGGGCTCGGGCGGGCCCGGAACGCCCTCGGCGAGGCGCAGGTTTCGGAAAGCGTCCAGGGTTGAACGCCGCTCTGCTGACAGCCGCCGGAGACGCGAGGAGGCCGCGACGAGAGGAGGCGAGCGACGGAAGCAACGGGGCCGACTGCGACGAAGGTCGCGCGGGAGCTCCCAGGCGTGGGGTGGCGCGTGGCGCGCCCTCTCGCGTGGGACCCGCCTCTTCTCGCCGATCTGGTCCGAGGCAGCGCAGACATGGAGTCGCGACGCACGGCGTCGAGACGGGGCCCGTTGCCGTGCACCGGCGGCGCGCTCCGTCGCCAGGTCGGGCGGCAGTGGCATGGCGTTTCTCGCGGTGTCCTTTCCCCGATCCCTGGGTTTTTGGCGCCCACGCGCCAGGTCCACGGATCCCTAATCTTACGTCGGGCGTGTCTCTCCACAGGAGGGATATCAAAAATAGCCCGAGCCTGATTTTTCGACTATCATCGGCCGCTGTCGAGTACGACCGGCCATCTCTCATCGTTCTTCAAACACCCGCCCGTAGGAGGACATGCCCGACCTAACCCTAATCCGTGTTTAGGGGAACAACAAGTGGCATAAACATAAACACGCGGAGGTCCGCGCGGATTTCTCGGATCGGCGCTGGGGCCCCCCGGCGGCGCCTCCGGCCCCGCCCCTGGCGCGCTCCGCGCGCCAGGGAGGGGGGTCCAGCGCCGATCCGAGAAGTCCGCGCGGACCTCCGAGTTCTTATGTTTAATATGCCACGTTTTGTTCCCCCAAGTGTTGGCGCGCGCCCGACAGGCGGGGGCGGCCCCCCTCCCGCGGCGATCCCCCCCCCCCGGGGCCCTGCCCCGCCAGGCATGGTTGCCGCTGCCAGCGGCAGCCCGCCGGGCCGGGCGCCCCGAGGGCTGCGCCGATGCCGCCCCACGAGGTGTACAGCCTCTTCGGGTCGATCTGACGTCGCGCCCGCGGGCTCGGTGGAGGAGGAGGAGGAGGAGGAGGACGAGGACGACGAGGCGGAGGAGGACGAGGACGAGGCGAAGGAGGACGAGGACGAGGCGGAGGAGGAGGAGGAGGAGGACGAGGACGAGGACGAGGCGGACGAGGAGGAGGATGACGAGGGGGAGGACGAGGAGGAGGACGACGAGGAGGAGGAGGACGACGGGGCGGACGAGGACGAGGACGAGGAGGAGGAGGAGGAGGAGGAGGAGGAGGAGGACCTCGCCTCGGCCGAATGGGCTGCCCAGCCGGGACATCCGCGGCTGCCCGCCAGCCGCCCGCGCCGCGAGGCCACGGCGCGCTCTATACAGTGCGCAGCGTCGCAGGTCGGGGCTCGGAGTTCGCGCTTTTCTCGCGTGTTTGGGGAGCCCAACGTGCTTTCCAACACGTGCGCCTCGCCGAGAGCGTTCCAGGCTCCGGGGGGGAGCCCGAGGCGTCTCGAGCGGCGGCCCAAGACCCGAGCTGTGGCCAGAGAAGCGGACACCTGTCGTCACAGGAGGATCAGGACGGGAGGTCCGCGTCCGTTTCTGGCCACGGAGGGCGGGGCAGAACCGGGCTTCCGGAGCGTGAAGACACAATTCTGGACGAAAAGCTGGCCCCAGGTGAGGGGCCCAGACCTCCAGGGGTCCACGTGGCAAGCAAGATCGCGGCGCCGGAGTTCCGGAACTGAGGCATGCATGTGTCCGGTTCCGGAAACCCTGAACCCCAAAACGTTGTCATGTCTTGGGGGCGCATTTTTTTCTTCTGCCGAGCTTCCGCCGGTGTCCGCCGGCGGAGGCGGCCTCGTTTTATTTCCGCCGACCTTCCGCCGCCTTTCCGCCGCCTTCCGCCGAGGAAGAGATGGCAACTCCTTCGTTCGGTTCCTCGAAGGCGGGACCCTTTTTGAAGCGCCCCATATAGGACATCCCAGGAATGGATTCGCATTCGTCGTTTTCAGCGGAGCGCCGGCGGAAGCTGGCACAAGGTAGCAGCGGGTCCGCCAGGGGAAACGAGTCGACGTTCGGCGGAAGGCGGTCGAGGCAAAAGCGAGGCATAAACATTGTGGTTTCTTACTGATTGTTTTGCCGATCGGCCCGGGTCCTCGCACCCCCCGCCTCCCCCCATGGAGTAGATTTTGGTTGTTTTGGGTGTTTGTTTCGAGCAGGTGGAGTCTCCCCCGTAGGACGCACTGCCGAAAAAAGTCGCATTAAGCAGAGGTCCAGAGCCAGAACCCACCCCCTTCCGCCCAATGCCGAAACGCCGAATAAGAAAACGCTCACTACAGAGGGTGGTCCCGAGTCTGCCATGCGCTTCGATTTCTAAGTCCCCTGGTATTTCCACCAAGTTCAGACACTCGCCTGGGTGGCGTGTGAGGGCAGTCCCATGCCGATGCTTCTATCGTGTTCCGCGTGGCACACCGCGGCAGGTGTGTTAACGCCAACCCTGCGTCAGTCGTCCCACGTTCCAGGCAGGCACTGGCCTTCTCGTGTGGAGGCAGTCCAGCATGTTTTCTCGCGGTCGACGGTAGCTTCTGCCTCACGCAGAAGTTCGCACGCACGGGCCTCATCTTCATGCGGAGGCAGTCCCAGCATGTTCTCATGCGGGTGATGGTAGCTCCTGCCTCTCGCAGTGGTTGTTTGTTCATTCCTCTTGTCATACATGAGACTTCATTGAAGTTGTTTGAGCCCCCCATGCTGCTCTCTGGACAACAACGTCAGAGTTGCCGCAAGGCGATGATGTGTTGCTTGAAGCCGCTCAACCGACGTGGCAGCTCGATGTGTTGCTGGCCAACTGAATAGGCGGCTGTCTGCTACGGCACTTCTGCCACTGCACGTCCGCGCAGACAGCTTCCTCACCTTCGCCTTAGACAGTGGTACACAAGGAGCCGCTGGCGTGAGAGAACTCCATCGTTCACCAGCAGCCTCTTGCAACGGTCGGCTAGTCACCAGCTGAAAAACCTAGAGCTGACAGTCGAGGGAGCACGATGTTCACACCGCATGAAAGGTTGTGATCGGGCAAAGCCAGGGGTGGGGGTATAGACGGAGAGAGAGGGAGAGAGAGAGAGAGAGATACAGAGAGAGAGAGAGATTAACATTCAAAGTTGCAGCGGTTGCTTGGTAAATGATTATTGGATGGCTTTTCTTGCTGTTGGTTTTGCAACGTGTTGCGATGACCTCACTGTGTTGATCGCTTACTCCGCATGGACAGGGCTACAGCTGGCCGAAATCCGGAGTTGAAGCACGAAGTCGAGGCCGTCGCCACGAGGCGAGCCGAACACACTTTACCAGTGCAGATGCTTATGCCGCTGCTTGGTTGGCAAAGAATATTGCGGATCCGATGCGACATATCCCGGATCTGAAAGTTGACGGCAACCCGCATACCGTTCGTTTTTCGTTCAAGAGTCCCGGCATGTATTGAGCACATTCCCAGAGGAAGTGTTGATATGTCGTAGGATTGTTCTGACTGGAAGTGCACAGAAGTCTGGTCATAGACATCGAGGTGTCACGATGGGTCTGCATAACTTTAGGATTCGTATGCGCGTGCAGTCATAACGACTCCGCGAAACGCGCGTTGTGCTTGCAAGTTTGAACTATAGTGCATCACGTTGCGCGAGTGTGAAGCGGGCGCGCTAACCGCTGGCACCGATTACTATTGTATTCGAGTGATCGTTCAAATCGTAAGCCGTTATGTGTTATCATGGACGGTGGCGGCAACGAATGCACGGATGGTTTTCAACAAAGTTTGGAAGTCGCTTGATGCGGCCTACGATACCGAAAGTTAGATGTTCATAGATTGTATGAGTTGGTTTCGAGCTGGTTGCATCAGCGTGTTCAGGTCAGCGGTGTCAGAGGGAAGTCGCATAAAATGCATCCTTCGCACGGAAGGCAATCGGTAGGCACATGATTGTTGGGGCTCGGACAGTTGGGTGGATTGGCGAGCAGCGGGCGTGCATTGGGTTCAGCATCTCTTGTGCGTTGCGGCCAAGCCGCCGCTGCAAGAGAACAAGAGAACAAACTATAACCATCCGAAACGATACACTTCAACGAACATGAGGAGGGCACGCATTTTTGTTGCGACCGCGACGGAGACCAGACATGATTGTTTGTCATAGCAGCTGCGCATTACAAACCTTCAGTTTTACCAGGACGCTGGAGATACATGGGGAGGCCCGCCTGGGCGAGAGCCAAGTGGCCAGATGTACTTCCAGCGCTTGGCCCTGCTACGGCCAGGCACGCTGGCTCTCGGCATGTGCATCCCCCGCGTAGCCCCCCGATGTTCCGCATGTGGATCTAGCCCTGTGTGTTTCAAGCCTCCTAGTATGTTGTCGGAACCAAAAGAATCAGCGTGGCGATGGACCCAACCATATACCGTTGTGAGTACCGCAGCTGTGGGCACCGTATTCGGTGCACCTCCCTATGGGCCACGAAGCGATTCCTTGGGCGGAACGGACGCATGCGAGTTTTACCATTGGGGCTTTCGGTGGGGCTCCCTATGGGCCAAGAAACGCTTTCTGGGTGGGGAGACGCATGTGAACGTGTCCATTGAAGCCGTCGGTGGAGTTCCTCATGGGGCCACGAAACGCAGTACTGGGCGGGGGAGACTCGTGTGAACGGGGCCACTGGGGCCTTCGGAGGAGCCACCTATAGGCCACGAAACGCTGTACTGGGTGGGGGAGCGCAGGTGGACTTTGCTATTGGGGCCTACGGTGGATCCACCCATGGGCCACGAAACGTTGTATTGGGTTGGGGAGATCCACGTGGATGCTGCCAGTGCGGCCTCCAGTACAGCTCCCTACGACGGCACGAAACGTTATATTGGGTGGTGAATCGCATGTGCATGGGTCCATTGCGGCGTTCGGTGGAGGTGGTACTCACCATGGGGCCGCGAAAGCCTGCACGGCAGGGGCGACGCATGCGGACACCACCATTGGGGCTTTAGGTGGACCTCCATATGGGGCCACGAAACGCCGTGGTGGGTGGGGGAGACGCATGTGGACACCGCCATTGGGGCCTTCGGTGGAATTCCGTATGGGGCCACGAAACGTTGTGTTGGGTGGGGGAGACGCATGTGGACACCGCCGCCACGCGAGCCTTAGGTGGAATTCCCCTATCAGGCCACGAAGCGTTGTGCTGGGTGGGGGGGCATGTGGACACCTCCACTGGGTCATTAGGTAGAGTTCCATATGGGGCCACGAAACGCTGTGCTGAGTGGGAGGGCGCATGTGGACACCGCCATTGGCGCCTCAGGTGGAGCTCCCCACGGGGCCACGAAGCGGTGCGCTGGGTGGGGGAGACGCCGTGCACGCCGCCACCGGGACTTTTGGTGGAGTTCCCTATGGAGCCACGAAACGTTGTGGAGGGTGGGGGGGACGCATGTGGACACCGCCATTTGGGCCTCAGGTGGAGGTCCACATGGGGCCTCGAAACGCCGTGTTGGGTGGGGGAGAAGCATGTGGACACCGCCGCCACGCGAGCCTTGCGTCGAATTCCCCATGGGGCCACGAAGCGTTGTGCTCGGCGGGGGAGCATGTGGACACCGCCACTGGGTCATTAGGTAGAGTCCCCCATGGGGCCACGAAGCGCCGTGCTGAGTGGGGGGGCGCATGTGGTCACCGCCATTGGGGCCTCAGGTGGGGCTCCCCACAGGGCCACGTAGCTTTGCGCTGGGTGTGGGAGACGCACGTGGACACCGCCACCAGGGCTTTTGGTGGTGTTCACTATGGGGCCACGAAACGTTGTGGTGGGTGGGGGAGACGCATGTGGACACCGCAATTTGGGCCTCAGGTGGAGGCCCCCATGGGGCCTCGAAACGCCGTGCTGGGTGGGGGAGACGCATGTGGACACCGCCGCTTGGGCAGCAGATGGAGCTCCCTATGGGGCCACGAAACGCCGTGCTGGGTGGGGGAGACGCATGTGGACACCGCCACTGGGCACGTAGGTGGAGCTCCTGCGTGGGCCACGAAACGCAGTGCTGGGTGATGATGATGATGATGATGATGATGATGATGATGATGA